GGGAGGGGCTTGCATAGGGGAGGGGGTTGGCAGGGAAACGGGGTTCAGGGGGAGTAGAAGAATTGGGAGGGATGAAACCCTCTTTAATGGTCACACATGCAGAGCACACAGCACACACAGTGAAATGTGTTCTCTAATTTTAACCCATCCTAGTACCAGGAGTCTAGTACTAGGAGTAGTGCGCAGCTATTGTACAGCGTCCGGGGAGTGAGGGGGGAAAGGGGATGTCCGGTGCCTTGCTCAAGGGCACCACGGCAGGGCAGGAGATGAACTGGGACCCCTCCAAGTAGAAGTCCACACTCCAAATGTAGGTCTGGTCGGGGACTTGAACCGGCGACCCTACGGCTCACAGTCCAAGCCCCTACTGACTGCCATAGATTTAGTCCCTAATTTTGCTCTAAAAGTGCACCAGATTGATGCATTTAACTTCAACATTTAAAAAAAAATCTTCCCGGAGGAGCTTGCCCCCGGACCCCCCTAGAGGAGGTGAGGTCCACCACCTGCCCACACCCCTGTTTAATGGTCTCACCCACATTGAGGATGCTTCCTACGCCCATGTTTTATTCCATGTGTCAAGTCAGGCAAATTGGGTCAAAATGTTATTGCATCAATGATCTGTTAACATTAAAATCACTAAATATATGCTGCAACTATTTTTGCTCTAGGCAACTCAAGGGCTCAGGTAATGTGATTACTATATGAATAATGGTCCAAAATAACATAAAATGCATAGGGTTTTTTGTTAAGTAACATACTCTCGTCGCCGGACCAGCCGATACATGCCGCGCATTAAGTGGGCCTGTCTGTCAATTAATCCCCGGGCCACTTTTTCCCTCCAGTCCGCCCCTGACTCTACATAATAATGACCATACCACCAAACACAGATTAAAACTAAAGTAACGAGCCTGTTTTAGAAATCTAAGAAGTAGAAAGTAAAGGTATTTCTGTTAAAAATGTAAGAAGTAAAAGTAAAAAGCCATTAGAAAATAAGTAGTGGAGTAAAGTACTGAACAGAAAAATGTAGGCTACTTAAGTAGGCCTACAGTAACAAAGTATTTGTACTGCACTACTTCCCTCTGAGTGGAAAAAGTAATTTCAAGTCATTATTGTCATTTTCTTTAAATAATAATAATTTTAAATGATTTACAAATTGTTTGGAAATATATAATAGTTAATAAATAATGCATGATCATTAAATAATTATTTTTCAATGTATTTTACAGTAGTAACATTTGTGTGTGTGTGTGTGTGTGTGCGCGTGCGTGCATGTGTGTGCGCTTGGGGGATTAGACAAAAAGAGAGTAATAAATGACAAAATAATAATTAAAATTAAATGAGTAACAATATAATAGTCATATATCCTAGGAAGGGGGGACCTATAAATAGTAGCATGACCTTAAAGAAGTAGAAAGGGGTGGTGGGTGAAATCGGATTGAGGATTATTAATTACATTTATCAATGAATGGGTTCCAGATTGCATCAATATCATTGGTTTGGGTTTTTCATGCCTGCAGATAATTTTTCCATTGAAATGTATTCTATTTATATAAAAAAAGAAAAGTATTATTTTGAAACTCTACTGTATGTAATTTGTCTTTGTTCTGTTTGAGTGCAACTTTCACATGGTGAACTCAGAGATGTAGAACTTTCTAAAATCACAAAAAACCCTAAAACCACCGTTAAGTCTTGTTTTCAAATAGGTCTGATTTTCTGTGCACTGAACGGTTGTTTCACCAAAACCAGAGACGACAGATGATTTCACCCTCTCTGGTGACTGCTGTAGTTTAATGGTTGATTCCTCTGAAGCCTCACGTGTGCTTGGCCCCAGACTCCTTCCAGAAATGTGTCCCTGTGTCTCCCTCTCTGCCTCCCAACAGTCTGAATGGAGGAGGAGGGAGAGTAAACTGCCCGGAAACAAGGTTTGACTTCTAAAGCCTTTTTCACAAAATCACAATGCACAACAAACGGCCAACTGTTGTTTCATGTAGACAATAAGGTCCTCTTAATCTGATCATATTTTATTATATTAAAATTGAAATTAGATTACAAAACAGATTTAAATGTTTTGTCATTACATGAAGTTCATTTAACCAGAAGTGCAAAAATCAGTTGACTGCAGAGTAATTTATAGGATAAAATATTGAATAATTAGAGTGTATAAACACACAGTAGGATTATAACATAAGAAATAAACAGAATAGCAGCATCTAGTGTGGTGTATATCGCGGAGAAGATGATATTCTAGTATAATGCCACTATCATGAAAATGCTACCCAGGAAATGGCAGACAACTTTGGCAAAGATATTTTTAGCAAAAGTTGCTAATCTGCCATGAAATGTAACGTGAGCTCTGATTGGCTACAGTGTAAGGGGAAATTGTTGTCTGGTTGCTTGTGTCCGTGCTCTTGAGGCGTTAGAAAACGAAGTTGCTGTTACATCTTACAGAAGATCATAAACAGTGTCATACAATACTCCAGAGAGCACCTAAACCATGAGAGTCTGTAAGTAGGAAAGTCAACATTGATACATTTATAGTAATGTACCTTAACTATTTCTTAAAACAATGTCTGTCTGTGATGAATCTCAAAGATGTAGGTCATAGAATATCTAATATTGAAAGTCTTTACCTACCATTAGATAACGTTGTTTTCTTTTATGAATATGTGCTACATTAAGGTATAAATTCATCCATTTTCCTTTATGTGCGTGTTATTTGATTCATGCCTCTTGTTTATTGTCCTGTTTTAAATACTGTTTTAAATGAATGCCTTCTTATAATTTTCAGAAGTCTAAAACAGATTAGTGATTCTCAAAGTTCATTAAGATGAACAAAGAGGGAGTTCAATGTTCAAACCCCTTTAGTTACTTCCATGACTAGAAGTATTGTGCCATGCTACTTGCTAATAAGTATAAAAAAATGCAGGATTTTAAAACAAATTTCCCTGTTTTCTGTTGCTAATTATAAAACGTTTCCATCTTTTCAACCTCCAATCGTGTTTCTCACAGAAGAAAATGTACACTACACGTGTTGTCTAACAGGAGTGAGCACAGGGTTGAGGTATGTTCTAACACCATCTGTCACAATCTGTCTCATCTTTATGGAGCCTTTTCTTTCATGTGCACTCACTTCTCGTCAATTTAAACGGGTGACAGACAGTATGGAAAGAGCTCCTGCCTGTGCTTGTGCTTTCCTGGAAAATATTCACGAGTATCTGATGAGTAGTGTGTTCAATGTTTTAATGAAGCAAGAAAACTCCCCTGGTTTGTTTGATGATGATATAACTTTTATTTTTGTTAAAACTTTCTCAATTTTAATTTAGCATTTTCCATTATTTTTTAACGATACATACAGAAGGCACTTACAAAAACAAGTTAAATTACAGATGCTGTTATTATAAACATTACATTAATGATTAAAAAAACATAACAGAATGCAAAAGACAATAAATGACAGCACCATTGGCAACGTTCGAACAGTACATCTCAAAGTAAAAAGGTTGCAATGATTTGAAATCTACAGTACAATAGAAACTTATTAATGTATTAATGCCCGAGCTATGCTTTTAGGTATAACTTAATCATCAAGATAAAAAGTGTAAAAACTCAACTGTTTTGTCATTATTTTTCACTAGTCAGAGGTTTGTTTAATTTACATTATTAGGCTTTGTGGTTTCAGCTCTGTGCAATTCCTGGTACATCTCTATTAGACGAGTGGCCTCCCTCTGTCCTGAGAGCAAAGCACCATGGGTAGTGGAATAGTATTTTCTGTGGGTGGCCTCTCCAGCGAACAGGACCTGTAGAGGCTGAGGAAGGAGGGGGAGGAGGGGAGGAAAGAACAAAGATTTGAGAAGAAGAAAAACCAGATTCAAAACAAGAGCCGTCAATGTCATCCTGACATATTTCCCTGGCCTCTCACGATTTTCTATTTCCATCACTGATTCCCTTGTTAGTGCTCCGCGTGTAGGAGGCTGCTGCAACTTTCCTGAGGCGTTAAGGTTTAGTTTGACAGGGTTGAAGGACGTCAGCGAAGGGGTCATGCTGTTCCTTCAACAGTGTCAAGTGAGCACACAAACATCCCCTCCCCTTCCCTCCCAGCCCCTTCACCCAGACTGCATCAGGTTTCGTGTTCTAGACTGCTGACCAGGACACAGGCTTCACCCCCCACCCCNAAAATAACTCTCAGAATAACGTTATTAGCACATTTGACAACTTAAGGACCAAATAGACTACCCAGTATGAACATTTGTATAGCCCTTATTAAAAACCTTAGGTCCTTAAGTTGTCAAATGTGCTAATAACGTTATTCTGAGAGTTATTTTCCTTGGCATTATGAACGTGCATCTGAGAGTGGGAGCTCGGGGGGCAGGGCTTAAGGGGCAACTCAACTGCGCATGCTCAATGAGCGCACATACGGGTACTTCTACCCTGACAGCCAGGCATGACGGGTAATCTGTGACGTTTCGCTCTCTCAAAAGTTGGGCCATTTTGTCCTCATGTTTCCAGTTCTTATTATACATCCATGGTGGGGACTGACACATTTCTTGAGCCGATACCGTGTGGACGAAATACTTTTTTGATATCGAATTCGGTTAGTTTTCGTTTTCGTCTCCGTGTAGATGCAGCCTTAAACACGAGTATCTGTACTTCTACTTGAGTAAAGGATGTGTGAACTTTTGCCATCTCTGTTTCCACTACACTTGTAAAAAATGTAATCACATTAATTTGGTTCCCCCAAATACGAAATAGTTGCCTTGTCACGTACTGCTGCTGTCGAGTAAGGAGTAAAGCTTTGTGAAGCTTGTGGCTTTTTAAAATTCAACATTAATTCCTTGTTATTTTTCATGACACGTGAAACCATGTACAGGAGCCTGAACGTTGCCTAACAAACCCTCAGCTCTTGTGAAACAGGTTAACAGTGTGTCACCTTACCTGCTACTGTTCCACATAAT